TATCCAAAGGATATCTTCTGGATATCTCTATAGATTTTCATAAATGTCCTTCAGATATCCCATAGATATCGTCAGGATATCCCACAGATATCACAAGGATATTCTCAGTATATCTTCTGGATGTCAAGAAGATATTCTCAGGATACTGTTTTAAAGTCATTATGAGACTACGAGTGAGAATATTCTGTGAATTAAATTTTATATAAATAAAATAAAATGCAACTTGTTTTTCGAGAAAGTTGTTTAATTTGAAAAATTATTAACTAATTTTTTTCTCATTCGTGATTCATTCCTTTATTCATATGCTTAATATTGTCAGAAAATAAATTGGCTTTAAACAATATAAATTCTTCCCCGCAAATAACGAATAACTAGTAATATTAATTATACATTAAGTGCATGAGTTTATTTTAAAACTTTGAAAAATGCGTTTCAAATCTTCATTTAAAATAAATTAGAAGCTCATAAGATTTTTGTTTTTATTATATTATTATTCATTATATTAGCTTAACAATTTTAACCTTAAAAAATATATGTTGAGATGTTAAATATCCCGTGAATATCCTAAGAATATCCCACGGACATCCTGAGGATATCCCACGGACATCCTGAGGATATCCCATGGATATCCTGCGATATAATATCCAATAGATATTTTGTGGATGTCTTAGGGATATCCTGTGGATATCCTATGGATGTCCTGTTGATATCCCACAGACCGGCGGTTTGGATATCCTATGGATATCCCAAGATATCCTGGGGACCATTCTAGGATATCGACCATTGATATAAATATCCTATGGATATCCTAGGAATATCCTTTTGTTATGAGGGTATGAATACACTGTAAAAAGAAGTCGTATTTTAAGGCCGAAAAGAGGTCTTATTTTAAGAGGCAACATTTTTAAGGCAGCTTAGCTGAATTTACGCAATGCAATTTCCATTATAACTACTAACGCTGATTTTAAGACTCATCTTAAAATAAGATTTTCTTTTTGCTAATAAAAAATTATCATTATTAGTTAATTAATAAAAAACTGTCCATTACGTATTAAATATTTTGTATATATTCACAATTTCATTGATCTTTCATTAAATATTACCTCGTCAGTCCCATAATGGTTAATACAGATTAACTAAATAAATAGTAATTTTTATCAAATAAAATTTCTTTTTTTGAAATAACTAAAAATTTTCATTAACCAAATGATCTATTATTGTTTATTGAATATTGTTTTAATTGAAGCTAAAACCTCTACAATTTTGGCAAATAGTATTTTATTTCATTCAAGTACACAATTTATTTGCATCAAAACAAAAAAATTTTGATCCAAATAAATCGAAATTTGACTTAACCCCGGCATAATTCCGCGTTCAAACGTAAATGGCACAACGGGTCTTCTGGACTCGACGTATTTAACCCTTATCTGGCACCATGGCTTTAATTGAATGTGTAGCTTTTGAATATTTCAATATATTAGTTTGACATATTCTTAATAATTTTGTAAGTTTTTTGATACAACTAATTCAATACAAAAGAATAAATTAGCTTCAAACATTAATAATTATAAATTTTTAATTTTAACCTAAATAGTCACATTTTATTCTGCAAAATAAATACCTTTTTTGGAAGTCCTGCTGTTGTAGTAATTTTTTCCTTAAAGAAAATACATCAAAAATATAACCTTAAATTTTTAAGTAAAAACACGCAATTTTTCGTTTTTATTTTTCATGATTTTTTTTTAACTAACTTAAAATAAATTAATCTAATAATTATTAAAATAAATTATTGTTGGAATTACATTAATTTTTAATATTATGCAGTAAAAAAGGTTTTAGAAATAATTATTTTTCATAATTTTCAGATATAAATAAACTGTTTATTTGATCTAAGTAGTTTTTATTTGCATTAGAAAATCAAATATTTGAGTAAAATAAATAAATAGTTTCAAATAACTCAATATTTTCGTTTCAAATAAATATTTATTTAATCGAAATATTTTTTATTTGTTTTCATAAAATAAAGTATTTGTATTAAATAATTTAGTGTAATAGAATCAATAAAATAAATTTATTAATTTATTAGATTCACTTGATTATTTACTTGAACCAAATACGATTTATTTGGTTCAAATAAATGTGATTCAAATAATTTAAGTTATTTTAATTAATAAATACATATTTTTTGGATACAAATAAAAAATATTTAAAACAATATTTTTCGAATACTTTGAATTATTTGAATAAATTTTTTAATATATTATAATTCTATTGTGTAGAGGAAGAGAAATAATATACAATTCTGCATTTTAGATTTTCAAAATTTTGATGTGTCCTTAAGTTTTTTCGAACTTTCAAAATCGTCCGTTTTGGCATTTTCAATTTTTTTTTGGGGTAATGTGCAATCACAGGTAAAATTTAAGGGGCGGGTATCGTATTTAATTTTTTTTTTGCATTTTTCTTTATTTTTTTAAATTAATGTATAATATTTCAAGAATATTGTGTAAAAATTTCAAGCCGATCGGAGCAAAATTGACGAAGTTATGAGCAATATTTTTGAAACATTATACATTAATTTAAAAAAATAAAGAAAAATGCAAAAAAAAATTAAATACGATACCCACCCCTTAACAGAATTTTTTTTTAAACGAATTTTTAATTTAAATAATTTTTAGGTATCGAATTTTTATTTGGGTAAATTCTTATTTAACAGAATTTCTCTTTATTCAATTTTTTATTTAAAAACATTCTAATTTAACCAAATTTTAATTTAGCTTAATTCTTATTCGACAGAATTTTAACTATTTTAAGTGATTTGAATTTTTAAATGTTAGAATTTCCAATTCACCGAATTTTAATTTATGCAAATTTTTATTAACACGAATTGTTATTTAATAGAATTCTGAAAACGACGAATATTCATTTGTCCAAAATTAAAAATGACCGAACAAAAAATAGAAAGATTTCGGTACAATTTTTCAATTAAAATTTTTTATGATAATTTCTGAGTGGTCAATTTAAAAAAGGGGAGGTAGCGATTCTACGCAAAAAACCAACTTTTAGTACACAACTTTTGGCATGATCAATAAATTAAAATTCAGAACGAATATACAAATTTTACTTGTTTTTCGAAAATACTGCTTTTAGGACTTTTCAAAAAACGTGGGGAGTTGTGCAACACCGTTCAAACTTATCAGAAAAACATATTCTTTAAAATATTCTTTATTTAAATTATAAAAGGTGAAAAAGTAAGATAATTAATATAAAATAAAATCATAGATAAGATAATAAAAGATTAATTATAGGTAATATAAACAAAATTAAATTGTTTTAAAAATAATTTAATTAGGCGCTATGTAATTAATTTCATTTACAGTGAATACAGATGTAAAATCCATTTGTTATTTCAGCACAGTTGAATTATTCATAAATAATGTAAAATAAAAATAGAGAGTGCGTACTAGAATTAAAAACTGTTAAATATGATGTGTTGCACAACTCCTCACTGACGCTGTTGCATAACTCCCTTTTTTCTACATAAGTCATAGAATCATTGACACATCAAATGTTCATGAGAAATTTTTCTTTGTACGCTGAAAAGTTATTAATTACTGATTATTTTCATGCACTAACCATTGTTAAAAAAAAACTTTTTGAAAAAAACTTTTAACTCACTATCTGGAAAGATACGAAGAATGCTTGTAAAGATGACGGGGCTACCACTTAAAAAGTTAGTTCTTAACGAGAAAAGAATTTGACAATAGTCAAAATTTGTCACATTCCTTTCACTTTAAGGCTTAATTTTTTAAAGGCTTGTAAATATTAAAATTATTAAAATTATACCTAAATTTTAAGGTTATGTTTGTTTCTTGGTTAAGGCAATTTAAGGTTATGTTTGTCTAGTCTTGAAACCAGAGGCAATCCTGGGGACTTGCGCCTACGTTAATAGTCAAAATTCAAATAAATTTTGAGGTTATGTTCGTTTATTGGTTATGGGGGGTGATTTCCCACCACAATTTGAGGTTATGTTCTTGATTATATTTCTGTGAGAAAAATTATCTTTGATTTAAAAAAAATTATCTTCGTTTCAAAGAAATTTTTTATTTAATTCAAATAAATGTTTCTTTGATCCTATATCAATGTTAGAATTTCTTTGATTTAATGCACAAATTTCTTTCATTCAAGAAAATTTCTTTGAATCGAAGAAATTTTCTTTGAAACTATGAAGCTTTTTTGTTTCAAAGAAAATATTATTTTGAATAAAAGAAAACAAGTCAAAGAAATTGGTTTCTTTAAATCAAAGAAATCGTTTCTCTGGATGTAGGAGTTCTCGTTGTAGAATTTTTTAAAAAACTTAATTCAAATTTTTTTTTATCTGTGTAGCATTTCCTGGTGTTTGATTTAGATGTAAAAAAGTTAATTTAACATTTTATATTATTTAATTTTAATTCGTAGTCTTTTCTTGTAGAATTTATTTTTGAGAAATTTTTTTTTATTTAATTAAAATGTAGGTATTTAATATTGTCAAGAATTTCCTGGAATAATTTTTTTCCTTTGTTTATTATTTTAATGTATAGAATTTTTTCTTTTAGAATTTATTTGTGTGGAATTTTTTAAAAAACTTATTCATTGCAAATTTTTTTGTGCAGAATTTCTTGGTATTAGATTTAAGTGCACCGAATTAAAAAATCAAACATTTGAAAAAAAATTTAAATTATTTTTTTTAAGCTAAGAAATAATTTTGATATTTAAAGTATGTTTTTGACCTAAATACAACATTTGTTTGATTTATAAATTTTCTCCAAATTCAATGCACTATTTTAAGAATTCCAAAAACTCTTTAACTTTATTTACCAAAGTAATATTTTATCAAAATAATTGTATATCTTCTCCGTCCTTGTTACACAAGGACAGCTACTCGCAACTTTCACGGGTGAAAACGGCTTGTGATGTTTAACATTCAAAGCAGTCACCTATCAAGATTCATCAACCAGGAAACCGGCTTGTTCCGCAGTGACTTTGCTAACACGAACCATGAAAAGAGAATCGTAGAAAACGGTATTATTTTTTCGAGACTTAGCAAAACGATAATATTTTTCTGAAATATATTTTAATAGTTTCTGTTAAGTTTTTAAATCAGAAAAATATCGTAAAAAGTGGTGAATTTTAAATAGTAATATACATTTTTTAAAATAAAATTAAAAGTGTACGAGTGATATTGAATGAACTAATATGGCGCTTGGAATGAAAAGAAATGAATTTTCATACTCGCGAGATTATTTAAGACCATACAAAAGAAGGAGAAAACGCGAATATTCCGATTGGCGTTGGATATCGAATATTTCACGAATTAATGGAAAAACATGTGGGTACACTAAAGTTACCAATGATTTTAATCAAAGACTTCAAGCAACGACACAAAGTACAGATGATTCAAAATCACCTATTTTTCAAGAGTATGTTAATTTTGCTTTAAGTAAAAAATAATTAGAAGATAATTAAAGGAATATTAAAATTTTAATTAAATTTTTTGATTTTTTTAAAATTATTAATAAAAATAAAATTCTGTCAATATTGCTTTTGTTTTTTTCAGATATTCAAGAAATTAAAGTTTAGTAGTTTTAACAATAAAAGCAATTATGTATTTAAATATTGGTAATATTTTGGTGAATTATAATTTATAAATTATTCTTTCGCTTTGTTTAAATTAAGTTATTTTAAATTAAAAAGGTAATTAAGATTCACTCGTATAATAATCACATGAGACTACGTTTTAGTCAGCTGTTAAATTGATAATAGAATTCTGGTTTTATTATCTTCAATGTTATAGTAGTTATCTCCATCTACCTTTACATTCTTATGTCACTTTTAGATGCTTTTAGTGTTTGACCAAGATACCGCAATATTAATTTCAAAATATTTGATTCGTCGATATTGTTTTTAAATTTTTTACTTTTATTAATAAAGTCAACTATTCTTACATGTTGAAATGAAGTATGTATAAAAAAAATTTTTTACTTAAGGATGATGGAGGCCCTAACATAACCTAAAAACTGAAATTTTTAACGCAAACAAAAATTTAATATAAAACATAATAATTAATCAAATTTAAGAATAATTGGTCCAGTATCCCAAGCAGCACGTTATATCCCCCTGAATATCCCTTGAATACCACAGTGGAATATTCCCATGATCTTCAACCCAGATAGCACAACAATTTGCAGCAATTCTTCAGCAAGTTTACAATGCCAAATTTGTTAGTTTGCAATGTAAATTTGCTGCAAAACTGTGGCAAATAACTATATGTCCACGCTTTGCGAAGTTTGCATTGCAAATTTGCCGAAAAATTTTACATACCATTTGCAGAAAATTTTATGGCAAACTTGAAGAAAATTTGCTGATAATTTGCTCAAATTCATGTCATGCGCAGTAGTTTTCTATGGCACTTAGGGCTGCGCAATACATTTTAGTCGCCTTTCCTTTAGGAAAGGTTTGCAGTAACAAAATATCATCATATTTACAACAATGACATTTTTTAATTTTTGTCGAAAAATGTCCGCAAGTTTTCTTAAAATTTGTCATAAAATTTTCCTGCAATTTTTCTGAGAAATTTTTCTGCAAACTTGCAATGCGAACTTCGCAAAGCGAGGACATACAGCTATTTGCCACAGTTTTGCAGCAAATTTACATTGTAAACTTATAATTTGGCGCTACAAATTTACTGCAAAATTGCTGCAAAAAGTTGTGCTATCTGGGAAGGAAAATCAAAATGTGAATATTCCACAGTGACATTCAGGGTATATTCCAGTGACATTGAGGGTAATATTAAAGGAATATTCCAGTGATATTGTGGGAATACTCCACGGTTATATTGAATTTTTTTTTAAGTGTTGAAATAATAGAAATGTGTTATAAATTGTTATTTGAATAAGCAGGAAGATTAAAAATACATTTAAAAAAAAAATTCAATGTAACCGTGGAATATTCCCTCAATATCACTGGAATATTTCCACAATATCACCTGAATATCCCCTTAATGTCACTGGAATATTCCATGAATGTCACTGAGGAATATTCTCTCAATGTAACTGGAATATACCCTGAATGTCACTATGGAATATTCCCATGATGCGGACATTTTGATTTTCCTAGAAGATCATGAGAATATTCCACTGTGGTATTCAACGGATATTCAGGGAATATACCTTGCTGCTTGGGATATTTTGAATAATAAACGCAATTAGAAAAATTTGGCAATAGACATTTCTTATGGCTCAGCATTCGTTCTTTCAAATGGTGTATCGGAAGAAATTGCAAATTTAAAAATAAACAAATTACAAATGCACAAAAAAAGTTGGACTCATATTTGTTGCATCTCAAAATGAGTTCACAAAACGTGGCATAAAACGTGGTCTCATTTTTGATGCGTATCAAATTGAGTAGGAATTTTGTACTCAATTTGAGATTACGTTTTTTCTGTGTGGTTATTTAATAAAAAAAAATCGGACGAGTGCGAGTTACACTCGCATTAAAACCGAGGGTTTCGTACCGTTAAACCTAAAATTTGGGGGATTAAAGTGTAAAGGCCTATGAAAAAATTCCAATTTTGCTTAATTTTTCTTGTAATGTGAGCATGAAAACACATATATAGACACATAGATAGAAAATTATCAGGTTTTCCTTGAAAACGCTATGATAATCAACTCCAATCGTGCTCACTATACTTTTTTTGTAATCTACACGTAAAAATACGTAAAAATGTATAAAATTGAAGCCCTTTAGATAAAATTCTCTTCGTTTTTTGAAAAAAATTCATGATTTTTATCGAAAATTATCAGTTTTTTCTTGAAAACGCTATGATAATCAACTCCAATCGTTCTCGCTATATTTTTTTTGTAATCTACACGTAAAAAAAAACATAAAAATGTATAAATTTAAATACCTTAAGATAAAATTTTCTTCTTTTTTTATTCAAATAATCCATAATTTTTTCTAAAAATATGAGTTTTCCTTAAAAACAATATGAAAATCAACTCCAATCGTGCTCGCTATATTTTTCCTGTAATTTTCGAGTAAAAATACATAAATGTTTTAAATTTGAGCTCTCTATGTGAAAAGATGTGGCCACTAGGGGGAGGGTACATAGTAATTTTTAGGGATTTTTCGTAAAAATTCATGGTTTTTCCTTGACAACGCTATGATAATCAATTCCTATGAGATTCGCTATATTTTTCCTGTAATCTACACGCCAAAATACATATGTGTACTAAATTTCAGCCCTCTAGATAAATTCGTGTGGCCGCTAGGGGATGGGGGGTACATGCCTTGCTTCACTAGTCTCATTAATAGGGTTCTCCCTTCGGGTACGGAACCCTAAAAACATGAAATTTCAAAGTTTTTTAAAATTTTTTTTCTTTTTAAATTTTGTTTCGATTGACTTGAAATTTTGACACAATATTCTTGAGATAATATGCATAAAATAATTTAAAGAAAATGCAAACCAAATTTTAATACTTTACCCCCCCCCCTAACAATTAAAAAAAATTTATGATTGTAGACATTTTATTTTTTTGTAAAAAGGGTTTCAAGCAAGGTTCAAAAGCCACTTGTACCCACCATATACCTCTATTGTTAACAAAGACATTAAATTTGTAAAAAAAAATTGTTCTATTTTTTTAAAATTATTGATATAAAAATGAAATATTTGGAAGATTCAACTGTTCAAAATTCTAGACATTCAAAAAATTCTATAAATATGTAGTAAAAATTAAAAAATTTAATAGTCAATTTCTATGAACATTTTTTAAATATTTGAAATCCTTCAGACAAATTTTTTTTATATTTCTTTCAAACCGGTTATTTACTTTTACCCACTATAATTTACCTTATTTATATTCCCTTCCCCTAAGAGAAGGGTCCCTTCGAGGGTCCTTCAGGTTTAATAACTTTTTAACGCAAAATAAAAAATTATTTAAATTTAGAAAAAATATTTTTTTAAATGTTATATTTGTAATTTTTAGATTTTAACAATTTTAATGATATTAAACTTGATGTAAAAACATTAAAATTACATAATGATTATACAACTATCTATTCCATTAACATTAATTTTCAATAATTTAAAAATATTTTCAAACAATTATATATCGTTCCCTGTAGGCAGAAAACCATGTTCGTTCTAAAAACGTTTTAAGAACGTTTTTAAAACGTTTCATGTCTACCAAATAATGTTCTGGAACATTATTTGAACATCCATGTTCTTAAAATGTTCCAGAACATTATTTGGCGGACATGAAACGTTCTAAGAACGTTCTTAAAACGTTTTAAGAATGAACATGCCCTAATAACACAAGATATCTTGGGATATATTAATAATATCCCGCAGATATCCTAGGGATGTCCTATGGATATCAAAAGGATCTCTTAAGGATATCCAAATAATCGGCGGTTTGGATATCCTTTGGATATAGCATGGATATCTGAGGATATCCACAGGATATCTTCAGGATATCTCTATAGACTTTCATAAATGTCCTCCAGATATCCCATAGATATCGTCAGGATATCCCACAGATATCATCAGGATATCCCATAGATATCGACAGGATATCCCAGATATTTTCAGGATATTCTCAGTATATCTTCTAGATGTCAAGAAGATATTCTCAGGATACTGTTTTTAAAGTCATTATGAGACTACGAGTGAGAATATTCTGTGAATTAAATTTTATATAAATAAAATAAAATGCAACTTGTTTTTCGAGAAAGTTGTTTAATTTGAAAAATTATTAACTAATTTTTTTCTCATTCGTGATTTATTCCTTTATTCATATGCTTAATATTGTCAGAAGATAAATTGGCTTTAAACAATATAAATTCTTCCCCGCAAACAACGAATAATTATTAATATTAATTATACATTAAGTGCATGAGTTTATTTAAAATCATTGAAAAATGCGTTTCAAATCTTCATTTAAAATAAATTAGAAGCTCATAAGATTTTTGTTTTTATTATATTATTATTCATTATATTAGCTTAACAATTTTAACCTTAAAAAATATATGTTGAGATGTTAAATATCCCGTGAATATCCTAAGAATATCCCACGGACATCCTGAGGATATCCCATGGATATCCTGCGATATAATATCCAATAGATATTTTGTGGATGTCTTAGGGATATCCTGTGGATATCCTATGGATGTCCTGTTGATGTCCCACAGACCGGCGGTTTGGATATCCTAGGGATATCCTATGGATATCCCAAGATATCCTGGGGACCATTCTAGGATATCGACTATTGATATGGATATCCTAGGGATATCCTTTTGTTATGAGGGGGTTTTTTGCCCACAGGGTTGTAATTGTATTAACTTTTAAATTACAAATATAATATTTAAATAATTATTATTTTGAAATACAACAATTTTTAATTTTGCAATGAAAATCCATAAAACCCCCGAGTAATGTGTTTCAAGCGAATGTGCTTAATTTTTAAAATGTCGTCCGCCATATTGGATCCGATATTTTGAAAAACGGACACCGAATTCGTAATCAGTGACCCCGAAATCCTGCGAGTAACGATCCCGTGCAGAAATTTCCCTACTTAGTTCTACTTTAAGTAAGGCTCTCTCATGGCCCTTGCCAGTTTTTCCACAAGTCCGTCATTTCCCAGATTAAACGACAGTTACTTGGTTACGCCATGTTTGCAATATAACCTAGAAAACTACATATCAAGGCAGTGGAAAGGCCCTTGCCAGTTTGTCCACAAGTATGACATTTCTTAGAGCAAGAACATAAACGTGTTCATGTAAAAGTACTTGTACATAAAAAAATATGTACAAGAACATGCTCATTTTTTTGTATAAGTATATTTTCTTGTCCAGGATCTTGTATAAGTTCTGATACAAGAACATGTCTCAATTCCGGATGCTGAACTTGTTCAAGAACATTACTTGAACATGTACTAGAAAATGTACAAGTTCATTAATGAACATGTACAAGAAAATGTACAAATTCATTAATGAACATGTACAAGAACTTGTACATTTTCTTGTACAAGTTTTTTCAGCCGGGAATCGATGACAACTCAGATGAAGATGAAGTACATGTAGAAATTCATGTATAAAGAGCGAGATAAAGAGTAAAAATCTACGTGGATTTCCATGTACCTTCACGAATTTTACATGGTATTTTGAAACATTTCCACGTAGAATTATACGCAAAACAGCGATATTAAAACTTTAAAGTTTATCCCTACGGGTATTATATTCGTACCCATATTGAGAACACTTAACGATGCGACCTACTACGATAGGCAAATGTGGAAAAATAAAGTTTCTACGTCTTTAAATCAATATGTACATAAATGTTTGAATTCAAAAAGAGAGAAAATTATTTACTAATGCATGCCTACCCGTCGTAGTAGGTCAGGGTTAGCGTTCTCAATTTGTGTGCGTCTAACAAAAGCTGATTTTTTTGCGTATCCAAGAATTTCGCAAAATTACATCAAGCATACTGAAAAAGTGCATGAATCTTTCATTTCAATTTTGATAAATTTTTTATTGATCCGTGTAGAAATCACCAACCCAGATAGCACAACTTTTTGCAGCAATTTTGCAGCGCCAAATTATAAGTTTACAATGTAAATTTGCTGCAAAACTGTGGCAAATAGCTATATGTCCTCGCTTTGCGAAGTTCGCATTGCAAGTTTGCAGAAAAATTTCTCAGAAAAATTGCAGGAAAATTTTATGACAAATTTTAAGAAAACTTGCGGACATTTTTCGACAAAAATTAAAAAATGTCATTGTTGTAAATATGATGATATTTTGTTACTGCAAACCTTTCCTAAAGGAAAGGCGACTAAAATGTATTGCGCAGCCCTAAGTGCCATAGAGAACTACTGCGCATGACATGAACTTGAGCAAATTATCAGTATATTTTCTTCAAGTTTGCCATAAAAATTTTCTGCAAATTGTATGTAAAATTTTTCTGCAAACTTGCAATGCAAACTTCGCAAAGCGTGGACATATAGCTATTTGCCACAGTTTTGCAGCAAATTTACATTGCAAACTAACAAATTTGGCATTGTAAACTTGCTGAAGAATTGCTGCAAATTGTTGTGCTATCTGGGAACGTATGCCTGAAATGATTGTTGGCCCAATATTGGTCCTACCTTGGCAGCCCCTGTTTATATATTCTAGACTGGTCCTAACTTGGACTTAGCTAGAACATTTAGTTAAGTGTTAGAAAATTTTTTATGAAAAAAAGTGATTTAAATTAGAATTTGTAAAATATTCTCAGATAATACTTATTTAATTAATTGATAATTATTTATTGTTATATATATTGCCAAATAATATATTTCAAAAATATTTTGTTAAATTTTTATTTGTTTAAACAATTTATTGTTCATAATTTATAACTTTTTTAAATACACATAGAAAGTAGCACAATTTTATAAATTTGTTACCTTCTCTTAGTAGTTAGTAATTTAAAGGTTATAAATAAAATAAAATATAGAATTAAATTTGCAACAACTATTATGTTAAATTGTTTAAACAAATAATTGTTTCTATTTATTAACATTTTTCATAATTTTCCTAGAAAAATGCAGTATTTTTTCCTATTGTAAAATTAGGAAAAAGCTGCATCTTTCTAGGTGTACTACAAAAAAGTTAATAAATAACAACAATAAATTGTTTAAACAATTGTTGAATTAATAATTTTACATCAAATCTATCTGGCTTTATATTCGATTTGATAAATTGTAAAATTAGGAAAAAAACTGCATCTTTCTAGGTGCACTACAAAAAAATTAATATACATAACAATAAATTGTTTAAACAATTAAACAATGCAATATAGTGTTTTAAATCCATTATTTGACAACATAAAACAATTACAGCGAAAGTTCTGGATGATTTCAAGTATTTTTGTAAAATAGAATTAAAAAAATATAGTGAAAATTTATATAGTTAAAGCGTTCGTTAGGTCTCTTAGGTCATGCGTCTGGGGATCGATTCCCGTAGGGTTCAAATTTTAATTCAACTCTCAGAGTTTAATTTAAAACTTAAAGGATATTCCTTTTAGAAAGTTAGTACCCTACTGTTAATTCCCATATGAGATCCTTTGTAAGATATCTTATGGTTTCTTATATAAGATCCCATACGAAATCTTATAAGGACATCTCGTAAGAAGAATCTCATCAGTGTCCATACAGGATTCCATATAAGATCCCATATGGGGTCGAAATTTGAAAAATAAGATTTGTGAATATCTCAAAAACGGTAAGAGATACGTAAAATCGGACAAAATTTGAGTTCATTTTATATAAACCAAAAATATTTTGTGTTTAAAACCTAAAATATATGTCTCATATTCTTTTTTTTAAATAACTACTACATAATCCCATGTGGGATCCTATGTGAGATCTCATATAGAATTCTATATAGACACTCATGAGATTTGTCTCATGAGTTTCTATATAGGATTCTCCTAAGATCTCATGTAATATCACATATGAGAAACCATAAGTGATCTTATGCGGGATCTCATACGGGAATTTACAATAGGGATATTAATTGTGGTTAAAATTAATTTTTTAAATTATTTATTATTAAAACTGGCATTAACTAGGCACCCAAGTTAGGACTAGGCTAAAATCGCATCATAAACCATTGTAGGACCAAGCTAGAATGCCAAACTTGGACCTAGTTAATAATAGGGCAAAATAGATACGACCAAGCTAGGACCAGTTTTTATTTTCTACACGGGGAAAGCTTTCTATAATCTTTCATTTATGAAACAGTTTTAATGTTTTCATGGGTGTTTTTAATTCGCTTGTCAGAAATATCATTATACTAAATTTAGAATACCTGTAAATTCATATTTCATCATATTCTCTTTTCAGATTCAAGGACAAAGCAACTTTTGGGTATGGAACAAGTGTTTCTCCCAATAACAATGAACCTCATGATAGTGCCATGACATCAAAAAAAGTTATTTTTTGCGTGCATGGAAAACTATCTGGATGCTGTACTCTTATTAAAGATAATGACAGTGATAATAAAGCAGTCAATGACTATCAACGTCCAATACTAAGTATGTTCACTATTTTACCATACATAATCATTTTAAAAAAATTTCAATTTTTATTAAAATAGTAAAATGTTTTGCATTAGAGTCACACTTTTTGTTATTAATTTTTTTTTTAAATAAAAGAAAAAAAAAGATTAAAAATTTTTATCTATCCGTAAATTCAAAATAATATTTAAAATTTTTTAAAAATTCTGACAAATATCTAAAATATTATGAGGTTGAAGTCTAGTGAGTTTAAAACTATTTGAGCAATTGCTTTGGTCGAAATAAAGAATTAATTAGTATTCAGCTGTTGACAACCTCATGTAATTTATGTTGGAAAACTTTTATCGCTTGGCAGCACGGGTTAATATAAAAAGACATCAAACCTTCCGCTTAACACATATTGTTATAATATATGTCCGTTTCACTAATTTCACAAAAATTTATTCCACAATATTCAGGTAAATGTTCAAAAAACAATTATTTAAGTTAAAATATATTGTACGATATTCGAAGAAAAGAAGCAAATAAAAATTCAAATTTAACAAAATTTTAGTAATTGTATTGTGTAAAATAATACGAGGTGTGTAATTTTTTGTACTTCACTAATAAACAAACTTGTGTACAAACTTAATGATTAAAATCAAATAATTGCTGTCAGCAAAAATAATAAATATAAATCCTTCAGTAGACAACACTTTCATTCAATATCTTAAATTTAAAGAGTTAAATTACTCTTAAACTAATGTAAAATTTATTTAAAAATATTGCTCAAAATCTATAATAATTAATATTTGAAGCTTGAAAAATTGTCTTATTTATTAAATCCACGTTTAATTACAGTAGATAGTTTTTAAAACACGATAAAATTACATTGTATAAAAAACTAATTTTTATTTTTTGTAAACTTCTTTGACAGAACTGTTAGACATATATAGTCTAAATTTCAAAATTTTAATTTTAGGTGAAGATCACTGCCACAGAGATAGAAATGAAGATATAGATAGAAAAGCTCGCAAGAAATTATTAATTGCCAGTGTGCTATGTGTTATATTTATGATTGGAGAGATCGTAGGTAAGTAATAAATAAAAATTTATCTTGTGTACCTATAGATCACTGTAAGTAAATAAAAATTCGTGATTAATTTATGTATGGGGCAAAATTCCTGAACTGTTCACGGTGCGCCAGAAGGAGGTTTAAATAAAAATGAATTGGCACTTAAAAATTCTTTTTGATTATGGTTCTAAGACGAATAAAAAACTTTTCTCAATAGGTTTTAAAATCAGCTTACGTGCCCAATTTAAAACAAATTGAGTTTTAAATATTTAAAAATAGTATTTTATGAGGAACCAGAATTTATTTAATGTATACTTATATGTGTATAGATAATAGATGTTTTAGATTTGGGTTCATATAAATTTATTAACAATGAAGTTATTTTCTTGTTTCGTTTTTATATTTATGCATTAAGAGTGTCAAACGGTATCTGAAATTCTTTGGCAAGAAGAGAGCTTTAATTATCGCTCTGAACGTGAAATAGTATTGATTTTACACGAACACTTTTAACAAAATCAGCCAAAATCCTCATCTTATAAATTTCCTAAATCCAAAAGACTGTACGAATCCATAGAAAAACATGGTTGCAAAACAAAAAGTAGAAAAGTAATCTAATAACAGCTGCGATTTTGTGCGCCCTGCATGCTGCTGCCATCTGACGGCGGCGGGAGGTAAAGAACCTGTCATTATATTACTTTTCGTTTTGCAATCGTGTTTTTGTATGGATTCGCATAATCTTTCGGATTTAGGAAATTTATATAAGATAACGATCTCTAGCTGCTTTTGTAAAAAATGTCCGTCTTTCGAGAAGAAAGTATTTTAAAATCAATGTTTATCATTTTCACGTTTAGTGTCGTTTTTATAGAGCGATAATTAAAGGTCTCTTCTTGCCAAAAAATTTCAGAGACCATTCGACTCTCTTAAATAAATTTTGTCACTCTTAAAATCGTTCTTTTAACATTATAATTTAATTTTTTAAAATCGGACACAAACACTACAGCAATATAATTATTTATATGTAAAATTGAAAATAAGTAATTATTTTATCATTTATTGCAGTATTTATTAGATTAAATAAATTCTGATTCCCCATAAAACACTGTTTTTATATAAAAACTCAATTTTATTTAAATCGGGAACGTAAACTAATTTTAAAAACTATTGAGAAATGTTTTTTATTCATCTAAGAATCATAATCAAAAAGAATTTTTAAGTGCCAATTCATTTTTATTTAAACCACCTTCTGGCGCAGTGTGTGTTCCCACCGTAAAAATTAATTTCTCAGGATTGAGTTGATACTTGGCTAAAGTATAGTCCTAGTGGACATACATTCAACCACCAAATGATTTTACCCAATAACAAAGGGCTTTGAAGATACAAGGATTCGAAATTTCATCTCTCAGGCGATTTCTTTAAAATTCATCGTAACATAACTTCCATAAGACTTATTCAATTACACTTTTATTCTAGGCTTTTAGAAAGGGTTTTTTCTCTACTTTATGAATATGAAATCTAAATTTTTTAATTCTTTCTTTTAAAGCGTTTTTTCTCAAAATTTTTTTAAAAAATTTAATTTTCGCTGCTTAAGGCCGTTTTTAAATTTTTTGTTTTGGTCTCAAAAAATAGCATTTTTTGTGTACTTTAAAATCACACTTTGACAAAAATGGGATCTGCTTATTTCCAAAGTCAAATTTGACTTTTTTTACATAAAAAACTACACTTTTTCAAATTTGACCTTGAAAATGAACATCCCATTTTTGTCAAAGTGTGATTTTAAAGTACACAAAAAATGCTATTTTTTGAGACCAAAACAAAAAATTTAAAAACGACCTTAAGCAGCGAAAATTAAATTTTTTTAAAAAATTTTGAGAAAAAACGCTTTAAAAGAAAGAATTAAAAAATTTAGATTTCATATTCATAAAGTAGAGAAAAAATCCTTTCGAAAACTCTAAAATAAAATTGTAATTGATTAAGTTTTATAGAAGTTATGTTAAGATGAATTTTAGGGAAATCGCTTGAGTGGGAACTTTTGGGACAAACTTGACATATTGATAGAAATGTGTGAATTGAATTTCGCGAATTGCCTAAATTTTGGGTTTTGTCGGTAACATTTACGGAAAAAATTGGAGTGTTAAATTTTCAATGTTAAAAATTAATTTAGTCTGATCTGATCTTTTTAATAATAATATTTACACTCTACTATATTTTTTCTTTTGTGAATGGTAAACTTTTTTCATTTTTTGTTTTACACTCCAGGAAATTTAAACTAATTATTTCGATAGTTAATTATGTTATACGAAAGTACAACAGAAAAATGAATATCGATAAATAAATTTGACATTTAAAAATTTGTGATTATTCATTGTTAGAATGTTTGAAAAAATATTGATTAGTATTATTAGACTATTCCTGATTTAATGATAATTAACGTAATATTTTTACATGGCAATGAACATGGCAATTTGTTAATACCAATTTTTCTTAAAATAAAATTTATTTAAGAATTTACATAAATGATTTATATTTTTTTTAATATTTTATAGGTGGAATTTGGTCAAATAGCTTAGCAATTGCAACAGATGCTGCTCACCTCCTAACAGATTTTGCGTCATTTATGATATCTCTTTTTTCGATATGGATGGCAAGTCGACCTGCTACAAGAAAAATGCCCTTTGGATGGTATAGAGCAGAAGTAAGTTTTTTCATCCTCCTACCCTGGCGGATCTCGAAATCGGAATGTACGCTGAATTCGTTGTACATTCGTTACACATTGGTTAAACATTTAGTTGGAGTGAAAATTGTGTAGAAACTGATTGGAAACTGTGGAAAAGTGTAATTGAATTGAATAATAAAAGTATTTAGTGATAGATTTGTGCTGTATTTGTGATAAATTAACGTGTTATTATTAAATAAATAATGTTTAAAGTGTAAAATGTTCGCGTAAGTGAGTTTGACAGGCTAGGGAATTTTCTAGTGACATCCAAATTGATAGTCGATAAAGAAGTTGAGCCGCTGACTTTGCACGGTAGGTAGGTGGCTCCTTTTTAAAAATTCTCTTTTTCAATTGTAAATAGAAAAATTAATTAATTAATAAGTTATATAGTTTCTATGTTGTCATTTTTTTAACAATTGAATTTTTGAAGATTGTTTAATGAGATAAATTAAACTTGTATAATCGATGCAAATTGTTGTTTTTTAATTAAATTCAATTAAATTAATTTAATCATAATTTTAATAAAGAAAACTTTTTTTATTTTTCTTTATTTTATTATTATTTATTTTTAATATAAATGTAATTAAAAGAAAAGATTTATTTAAAAGTATTTTAAAAACAACAATTTGCATCGATTACACAAGTTTAATTTATCTCATTAAACAATCTTCAAAAATTCAATTGTTAAAAAAATGACAACATAGAAACTATATAACTTATTAATTAATTAATTTTTCTATTTACAATTGAAAAAGAGAATTTTTAAAAAGGAGCCACCTACCTACCGTGCAAAGTCAGCGGCTCAACTTCTTTATCGACTATCAATTTGGATGTCACTAGAAAATTCCCTAGCCTGTCAAACTCACTTACGCGAACATTTTACACTTTAAACATTATTTATTTAATAATAACACGTTAATTTATCACAAATACAGCACAAATCTATCACTAAATACTTTTATTATTCAATTCAATTACACTTTTCCACAGTTTCCACTCAGTTTCTACACAATTTTCACTCCAACTAAATGTTTAACCAATGTGTAACGAATGTACAACGAATTCAGCGTACATTCCGATTTCGAGATCCGCCAGGGTATATACATACACCGTAAATAAACTCCCAGAAAAACATTTTCAACATTGCTTCTATATGCGTTTAAATCGACTATTCCTTTGAGTCTAACCTACAAAGAACTTTTTATTGTCTTCTTCTATTTTCTATATCCATCTAAAGTCTGTAAAAATTCTGTCAATAAAAAAATATTCTTGATAAATGTAACCAATTGGATAATCGTTAACAAAGAAACATATTGTTTTCAAAAAGGCCGGTGATAAATAATATAAATAATTTTGTATATTGAAATGTATATAATAGCAATGTCTAATTTTTTCAACAAAAATAAATTTTATAATTTAAATACTTTTTTTTGTAGGTAATAGGTGCACTAACATCTGTTTTGATGATATGGGTGGTAACTGGCATTTTATTTTTCCTTGCTGTGGACCGTATTATTAATGAGAATTTTAACTTAGATGCTACTGCCATGTTAATAACTTCAGCGATAGGTGTCGCAGTAAACCTTGTGTAAGTTAAATTTACATTCCCTAGCGGATTCCAAATTATGAATGTGCGATGAACTCGTTGCACATTCGTAGTTTGTGGAAATAATGTAGAAAATTGATAAAAAATGCTATTAAATTTAATAAATAAACCCTTCGAGGTCACACTGGGTGGTTGTCACTCATCAATATTTTTAACTTTTGCTATTTTTCTGGAAAACTTAAAAGATTCATGAAATTTTTTCGATAACACGAATTTTATATTTTTTACTTAAAACATAAGGAAACAGATTTTTAAAACATTTAAATGTATCCACAAATTTTTCTGATTTCTGTAATTTAACCATTTCCAAATTACAGCCACTCAAAAATGACTATAAGGGTGGTAACCACCCAGTGTGACCTCCGCGATCGAAAAACGAAGTGTGACATTGAAGGATTAAATGATTGATTTTTGCAATTTTTGTGTTAAATTAAGTTGGATTATTAAATTATTAATATTTAATATTATTAATATTTAAGAAACGATAATTATTGGAATTAATATTTTCAGAATGGGACTAACATTGCATCAACATGGGCATGGACATGGACATGGTCATGGCCATAGTCACAGTAATCACAACCATAAACATGAGGAAAAAACAAATAATGATAAATGTCGAGAGGAAGGTGTTTTAGAAAAAGATGAGAAAAGAAATATAAACGTTAGAGCAGCTTATATTCATGTACTCGGAGACTTTATCCAAAGCGTTGGTGTTTTTGTTGCAGCCCTTATAATTTATTTCAAGGTACTTCAACATTAAAGATTTTTGAAATATATTATTCATTAATTTTGCGTAAAATTTCATCTCATGTGGAAACTTCTAATAAATAGTGAGAAGATTACGGTTTAAGGTTTTTGAAAATCCAAAAAAAAAGTTTTTGGTGAAACGCCCTACTGATTATTCCATAAAAACATTAGTTAGACTTTTCATTTAAAGAATTTTATTCGATATAATTATTTTTTTAACGAATCTTGATTTATCAAATTATCATTTAACAGAAGTTATATTTGAAGAAATTTTTATTTCACAGATTTTTTCTTTATCTAATTTTTTATTTAATAGAATTCTAATTTCAACTAATTTTAATTTAGTATAATTCTCATTTAATTGAATTTTAAAAGATTCAAATTTCAGAATTTCAAATTGACTGAATCATTATTTGCACGAATTGTTATTTGGTCATTTTAATTTCGTACAAATGAAATTTTGGAGTTTTAAGAAATTTATCAAAATAATTCGTACAAACAAAAATTCGAATAAACAAAGATTCAGTGAATTAGAAATTTTATCACCTGTCCACCATTTTTTCTGTGCTTTAAGTCTGCTCAAAGTAAAAGCAAACAAAAAATATTTTTTTCAGACGCGATCATATATAGATAATAAATATCTTATTTATAAATAATAATAATATATTAATCTAATGATTCTTGTTATTTTTTAGCCTGAATGGAGAATAGTTGATCCAATCTGTACATTCCTGTTTTCTATTTTGGTAATCTTGACAACAGTAGCTATCATTAAAGATGTTATGAACGTTCTTATGGAGGGAATACCGAAAGGTTTTGATTATTCCCAAGTTGAAAATACTTTTATACAAATTGATGGTGTTGTTAAAGTTCATAACTTGAGGATCTGGGCTCTTTCTTTAGACAAAACAGCTCTTTCAGCTCATCTGGCAATTCGTAAGTAAATTCCTAAAATTCTTAAGTTTTAGTAGTTTCATTGTTGAAATATATGTGAATAAATAAAAATAGTATATGTCCCAGTGTGTACGAGTAACATGCATGTAACAGTTCCATAACAATTCTGAGAAAATGTCCGCTTATTCGTGTAACATGTTACACGAATAAGCGGACATTTTCATAGAAATGTTATGGAACTGTTACATGCATGTTACTCGTGCACACTGGGGTGTTACCATTAAAGTCCGTAAATCAGTTAATGTGGACATTAACTAGTTAATCTGCGGATTACCTAGTCAAATCAGTTAAACTTCGAAAGCAAACTTTTATTCTAACCCTAACTAGTTAATATCCGAATTTCACACTTTAACTGAGAATCTTAGTTAATCAACAAATTAATTAGTTAATGTACACATTGACATTTCCTATATTAATGCTTTTACGTAAGATTTTATATAAATAAATCTTTAGAATACATACAAATAATATATACACGGAGAAAAATGGAAAAACGATTAAAGTAACTTTTACTATAGTAAAAGTATAGTTAAAGTATACTTTAAAAGTAAAACCTGAACTGTCCGCAGTTTCTGCACATTTCTGTCAATTTTTACTCCGAAAATAGTAAAAGTTATTCCGGAAATAGTAAATTTTACTATTTCTCGAGTAAAAATTGTCAAAAATGCGCAGAAACTGCAGACAATTCAGGTTTTACTTTTAAAGTGGTAAAAGTTACTTTATTCGTATTTCAATTTTTTTTCGTGTATAAATATAAATACATATACTGCCGTCCAAAGTAAAAAAGCCGTAAACAACAATGTTTTTATTGTTAATTATATACTTTTTTACTTTGGAAGGCAGTATACGTCCTTATAATGTATACAAATATATTGAATATATTCAATATATTTTTTGTAAGATTTGATGTCGCACGGTGGGTCCAAACCGCAAGTTCAACCCAAAAGTCGAGGCACTTCAAATTTGTTGTGGATTTTTATTATATTATGTCTCCTGACTAATTTAAGACCAAAAAGAAAAAAATCGTTAGACGCATGTTTAAGAAAATCGAGTTTTTGTATTTTTTATGATAAAATCACTGCTACTCAGCAACAACTTCCACACAAAAGTTTGAGCTCTTCAAATTTATTTGTAAATTTAATTACGATATTATTTTTTTGAGTAATTGAAAACCAAAAGAAAAAAAGATTAATTGAATAAATTTTATGAAAAGTTGATTACTTAAATTATTGTTTTCTCAAGATACTACTTTTTAGATAAATTGGTATTCGAACATAATTTTTTTTACATAGCAGTATTTTTACTAAAAGTAAATGATCAAATTAAATTTATGTTTTAGTAATAATTATTTATTTATTTGTAGAACTATGAAAGTTAATGGGAAATTGAAAACAGAAATTAAAGTAAACGCTGATTAAATCAGTGTTTTCTTAGACATAAAAATATATGTTATATTTACATATGGTGTGTAATAGTCAATAAGAATATTCAGGATGATCTCGTAATAGTTAAGGGGTTAGGGGTAGTCAGAGGCACGAAAAAATGAGAATTTTCAGTATTTTTTTTTGCTATTAAATAATTTTATTTTACAAAAGTAGTAATATGGTATTATTAAACAATGTTTTGACTTGAAGTCACGAAAATTTAAAAAAAAAAAATTTTTATTTCCGAAGTTACAGCTGTTTGTGTTAACCCAGTTCCAAAAAAAGGTCCTTGCGGTGACAATCATAAGTCCTTGGAGATTAATCAGAAATCAATCGGATAAAAGAAATTAGTTTTATAAATAAATAATCCTGGGCCTGATCGAAGGATTTTTTTTTTTTCAAAAATTAACAAAATGGCGGCCTCAGGAAATTTTTGTCTAGATTTTTGGGAAAAAATCAACAGTTAATTGGTCTTAAAAAATCGAAATTTTTCAAAAAAAAAAAATCCTTCGATCAGGCCCGAGTTTATTATGTATTCTAAAAGCTGTATAAATTTCATTAAAATCGACTGAGCGGTTTTCGAGTTATAGTTGTCACCAGTTCAAAAAACATAGTTTTGAGAAAAACGCGTTTAGTTTCACACTAGATTTACGTACAAAAAAACGAATTATTAAATTACTTACACCGAGTCATCTATTCCTGGGCCATATTAATTTAGGTACTACTACATATACCCAAGTCTAAGTTCATCGATGACAATAGAACCCTAAAAGCCGATTTCTTGCAGCTGACACTAGCTGCAAGCGCTCCCGAGCGCTTTAAAAGGCCCGAGCTCTCTTTGTTATTTGTCGAATAACTTAAAAACGAATTATCGGATTAACTTGAAATTTTCAGAGATTATTTTTAAGATATTTTACTTAACGAAAATGCAAAAAAAAAAAATTTGATTTTTTGAAAATTCTGACTACCCCTAACCCCTTAATATATTAAAAAATAATGATTTAATTTCTTCTTTCAATTTCCCATTAATTTCTGTAGTTCTACAGATAAATAAATCATTTTTACTAAAACATAAATTTAATTCGATCATTTACTTTTAGTAAAAATACTGCTAGGTAAAAAAAATAAAATTATATTCGAATACCAATTTATTTAAAAAGTACCCAATAGGCACGGGCATCCGCTGGATGTCCCAAGGACATGCTTTTAGGAACGTTCTTGGGACATTGTTAATAAGACGTTCTACACGGAAAAAATATTGTGCTAAATTTACATGAAGCACTACTGCTCTTTTCGCTAGACATTATGTGATGTAAAAATCGTTTTTGAAACAAGAAATTCTTTCATGAAAACGTGTATTCATTACATGAATTTACTTTTTGCGGTAATAGGAAAGATATATACTAATTCAGTCCCATCAGTATACGATAAACATTTAAAACTCATGAAAGAAATGCTCTTCACCTCCATATGTAAAATTTGCTTAAAATCCATCCGCTTTTCGGATGGATTTCTTGCAAATGGGACTAGACCCATGAGGCATGCGCACTTCATTTGTATCTCAATTGCAAGAAGTCCATCCGAAAAGCGCATAGATTTCGAGCAAATTTCATATTGAGTGGTGGGGAGCATTTATAGTATGGTTTTAATGAAATCGGGGTACATGTTTTAACCTTTTTTCACATTAAAGTAAGGGATACTATGAGCGCATGGATTTGTCCATCTCACATGATGTAATTAACGGACGATAAATGCTGGTGCGTTATTAGCACCACTTTTTTTCCCGTGTAAAGATATCCTTAGAACATCCAAAAATGTTCCCAAAAAGGCATCCTATAGATGTCAAAAAGAATGAAATAAAGACGTCCTAAACAAGTTCTATGTCTGGCCTAGAGGAGTTACAAAAATATACTTAAGAAACCTTATGGATATTTTTGAAAATAATAGAAAAAATTTAAAACTCATCAGTATATTTTTTAAGACATGTTAAGGATATTACAAAGAAGTTTGTTGAACATTTTTAGGACATGTTTGGTACATTCTCGGAACATAATCCTTTTTCGGCGAATTAGTCCATAAGGATCAATATATATGACCAGTAATCGCTATATACTTTTTTGTCTATTTGGATCTTCAAGAGCACTTCGGTGTTGTAGGTCGTTTGGCATGTCAGACTTAATACCCTTTAAATTATGTGCGTGTTAGGTTATGAAGTATACATAATTTCAATGTAATATTCATTTCAATTATCAAAGATTTTGGAACTTTTTACTACATTTTTCCATATAAAAACTCGATTTTCTTAAAAATGCGTCTACTGATTTTTTCTTTTTGGTCTTAAATAACATTAAATCATACTCCAATTCGTGTTTCACTTTCCCATGTGGATTCCTACGTGGATTTGAAATTTCATAAAGGTTTTTATGGAGGAACCTATATGGAATCCCATGTAGGATCTTACGTGGGAATTTTCAATAGGGTGTGTACAATAATTATTTATTAAAGTTTAATTTAACATAATTCTTCCACAAATCAACTAAATAATGACTGATTCAGCTGTATTTATTATTTATTTATTTTTTCATTGTACTGCACTAATTATTTGTTATATTTTGCTTCAAATCAAATTTGATTGAAACCTGATCAAATTCGCTAAGAGTTTGTTTTAAATAATCTACCAGGGAGGGAACAAATAATAATTATACAAATTTTTAAGAATAAAAGACCAAAATTTATTGTACTTAAATTTTGATTATTAAAAGGTAAATATCCGGAGAACACTATTTGTTATATTATTTTGGAAAAATGCTCGGGATTATCACAAAAGTTAAATAAAATTTTTACGAGCGACTCGCGGAAAAACGTCACAAGTGTCGTGTCAAATTTGGGAATCTGGAGATTGGCTTGTCGGTAACTTTTGATTAGTTCCAGTGTTAATCATCAGATTCCTGTCAAACCTGTAATAATCATTGTAAAACTCACAATAAATCTTATTGTTTCAGAACCTGGTACTAGTCCTCAGCACGTTTTACGAATGGCGACAAGAAGTATTCATGAAAAGTATAATTTCTTTGAAATGACACTTCAAATAGAAGAATTCAATGAGAAAATGGACAACTGTGAACAATGCAAATCGCCTTCTCAATAGAATAATAAATATGTAAATATAAATGTCTTATTTTTAAAAGTATTTGTATTATTATGCATACAAAAAGAGAGTGGGAACGATTAGCTTCAAAATCATGTAGCTTTAATTCTCAGGTTTTAGTGAATTTAATGTAATTTTAATAAATATTAGTTAAAAATATTCTTGTATTATACTTTTTATCTAACAGAAATTCAATATTCGTCTTAATGTTCGTTGATCCTACTACCGAAAGAACGGACCTAAAACGGAATCTACTTTCAAGATAGTATGTTTGGAGTTTGATTTGAAACAAATAGAGCTCGAATTAGTAATCACCTTTAACTTATAAAATAACGCATTTATGTCATAGTAATGAAATTTAATAAAGTATTCCTCTTTTTAAATATTTTAAATGATCCGTTACAATAAGCACAAGTTCAATTCGGACTCAAAACGATACGAATCATATGTATCATTAAGTTCCTTTTTTGGTCCATTCTGTCGATAGAAGAGGAACAAAATCAACTAGCGGAGGTTCTGAAAATCATTCCGCTCCGAAGTAAAATTATATATAAATTTTGTTTTAGTTATCGAAACGGAATGATATTTTTTGATGAAAACTTTTAACACTAATAAATTTTTTATTAGTTAACATTAAATGAAAAAATTGTCATTGAAAAGCTGTATATAATATTCAAATGTCAACTGAAGTTGTGTATAGTATTGGCCACAATCCAGAAATAATAAAGTATAATACTCTGCCAAAACGACAATATTAATATTAATTTTATGTATGAAAAGAGTTATTGAATCAAGTTTTTTTTGGAAACATTGTATGTTAGAAAATATGTGATAATTATGTTAAATGTACTCATATGTTTTGAAAAATAGAAATTAAAAAATACATCAGTATAATTATTTTATACTTCTTTTACAACTTTTTCCCCCCAACTAACTTTGCTAATTGTTTATTTTACGTAGATTTAAAACATTTGAAGAATATTTTAAAATTAATAATTCCTTATTGGAGCACAATCTGTGAGACACGTACATGGATTTAAACTTACATAAGTAATGGTTTGGTTACGTTATTTACACTGTAAAAAGAAGGTACTAAAATAGTACCGATTTTAGGTATTAAAATAGAACCAAAAGGCAATTTAGTACCTAAAGTTGGTATTAATTTAATACCTCTCGTTTTACAGTGTAGTCATGAATTTTTATATTAATTTCATTAACACTTTGCTTCCTCATAAAACCCATGCTGCTGATGTGGTTAATTAGTTATAAAAAATTAAGTGAATATTATTTATATTTTATATACAGATAAAAGTCTTAACATATAAGTATGTCCATATTTTTCGATAATTTAAAATTATTATATAAAAAATACATAACTTTGTCTGCATTCCTTAAACAATTTTTTTGTGTTATAAATTACTTAAATATTCTGACAAAGGCACGATATTTTAATTTCATCAGTTTTAATAAATATTTTTAAAAAATGTATATAAATAATATAATAAGAAATGAATATGACTATTATTATTACTCATCACTATTATTATTAGTTTCGTAAGAAACAGGAGACAATTTTTTGAGAACACTCCAGTTCCCAAATTAAAGATGTAACATGGATTAAGTTTACTATCAATATATATTATATTCTTTTTCATGGACTTTATCAATAATCTGTAAAAAATTGTCTCCAATATTAATTATGTCCTGTAATGAATAAAACTTTTCAGTAGAAACAAATTGAGATCCTTTGCTAAATTTCTGCAGTGATTCCTGAAATATAGTACCAAACGCATATTTTGTTGTGTCTTCCCACGTCTGAAAATTAAAAATATTATTTTGTACTAACGAGTAAAGTCAAGTAAAATCATGTACCTATTTTTGAAATATTTGAAAAGTGCATATTTTCATTAACGTATTTAATAAATAAAGACTGTGCCTCGGCTGTATTTTCTCTTATTAATATATTCAATGGAGTAATGACAGGAATCGATTAGACATCTCGACAATTAAAGGAACCGTTCAAACAATTTTTAACTTTAAAAATATGAACTGTGTTGAATTTTATGATTCTGCTCTTCAAAATGAAAATTTTCTGAGTGAAGTAGGAAAGTCAGTTAAGTATGATGCATAAACCTTAAAGATGTATCACTTCCGTTTTTTTATTTTAATTTGAAAGGTATTAAAATATTTTAATTTTATCTGTTAAAAATGTGTATCTTAAAAGTAATTATGTTTACACTATCACAGAAAAAAAGGTGGGTAAAAAGTTGTACAGATAGAGGATAAAAGTCGTTAGGATACAGGGTAAAGGATAAATTTGTGATGGATAAAAATGTTACTAAAATATTACTAGAAAAATGGATGTCATATTTGAGTAAACTGTCTAATTTTAATAAAATCATTAGTAATTTTACACTTAACTTATTAAATCCACAAATTTTATATAAATAACTAATTGCACGTGGAAATATTTTGCCTATAATTATTGTCTATTAATAAAAATATCTAACTAAATTAACTAAATTTTTTGTGCATATTAGGCTGTGTCAGTTCATCGAGATATTTCGAGTTCAAGATATGACGTCAGAGGCCTGGAGAGACAACAAACAGACGACACAATGTTATTCTTACAGGGAAGAAAATTTGTTTCCACTTTCATCAATTTTATTCATACTTTAAACACGGAAAACGCTTGTTGACATATAATAAAATTAAAATGTGTGTTGATAATTAATTTTGTTATATATTTGATTCATTTGCATTGATAGATTCTCTGAATTCGTGATAAAATACATATAAATATTGAGGTTAGAAAAGTTTGTTTACTAATCACATTTTACATTTTAACATAATTAAACAATATCCAGTATGCATGTTATTAAAAAAGATATAAAATATATATTTTAAGTGGGAATTACCGCAGCAGTAAAAGATTTCAAGTTAGTAAACAAACACCCCTAACCTCAAAATTTATATTTTATCACGAATTCAGAGAATCTATAAATGCATTGAATCAAATATATAACAAAATTAATTATCAACACACATTTTAATTTTATTATATGTCAACAAGCGTTTTCTGTGTTTAAAGTATGAATAAAATTGATGAAAGTTTGTTTGTTTTGTTTAAATGGCCTCTTGTATAGACAAATAGCCAGTACTAAAAGTCACTTCCAGTAATAAAAGTTAATGAATATCACTAATAATGTTTAATTAATTGAGATTTTGATATAAAGTTAATTTTCACGAACACTGTTTTAACCAGGGAGTAGTATAAGGAGACCGAACGGCCATTATGAATCCGCGTCAAAAGTGGCCGCACTTTTGGTGATCGTAATTCGCATGGGCACACTTCTGTCGATAGCAGCGCCTCACTCGGAGAGGCTGACACTATCGTTGTAAACAAGAAAGCATGATATAACCTCTGCTTTTTTAGTTTGTTTATCGCGTGCGGTTTATCGTTTAGTAAAGAAATTACGACTGAATTGTGATAAAATTTTAACACGCTTAAAATAAAATATTTTGTGAAGTGTAATGTGATAAAAGTTTGTTTACTAATCACATTTTACATTTAAACATTTTACATTTACGCCTTCTGTGTGCGTAGTGGATTCCTGTATTTCATCTACCTGGATAAAAGAAGGAAGAAAAATTTCTTTTTTTAAACCAAATAAGGTTCGTAATGAGGAATTATATATTTTTATTGAAAATTACAGTTCATATATTTATATATGTTTGTCTAATAAAAACAACATGTGCACTGAATAATCACAGTAGCAGACGACAAATAGTGCCACTTTTCTACACTAAGAGCGCTGATATCGACAGAAGTGTGCCCATGAGAATTACGATCACCAAAAGTGCTGCCACTTTCCGCGCATGGCGTTCGGTCTCCTTATACTACTCCCTGGTTTTAACGATAGTATTTATACACGGAGAGAAAAAGCATGCGTTTTTAGTATGAAAGTGGTTCATACTAGGATAGTATGAACCGTTCCTACGCTTAATGTAAGAATTCATGCGTTTCTAGTATGAGAGTATTGCATAGTTTAACTGTATGCCGTACATAGTCCAGTTGTATGAGCTTCATACTCTCTCGGTATGAAAGCTATACAACTGACGATTAAGCCACGCCTTCTTTCAGCTTGCTCATTTCCTATCGAGAGAGTATCTTGTGAATTTGTTCCTGATCCCCGCATAATTTATTATTATAAATTATTGTTATAATAATAATAATTATTATTATAAATTTGTGAAAATATATTATTTGTGAATTTATATAATTGATAGAAATAAATAATTAAATCGAATTCAATAAATAATATTAATTTTTATTTTTGTCAATGAAAATTAATTAAAAAATTTAATAATAATTTATTAATAATTATTTCTTTCACATTACACTTACTACTGAATTTTAACACGTATTTTATATTGTAAGAAACATTTTTTGTATATTGTTAGTTGATTTATTATAACTATTATTCAATAACAAATATTATTTGTATTATTTACATTTATATATAATAATAATAATAATCGTCGTGATTCTGTCCATTCTGTTTACACTTGAAGTTAGTCATGATTATGCTTCTGTTTTTTCAATGGTTTTAGAAGAATTAATATTAACAATTTACCACTGAGAAAAAATAAATTAGACAAATTTTTTCCTTGCTTTGAAAATTAACACTTTGTATTTTTCATTTTTTTATTATTCTCTTCATTTCATTCATTATTTTCAATTATTCATTCATTAAAAATATAAATCATGGGAATTTTTTCAATGCTTCGCACTAAAAGACTAAAGTTTATTAAAATAATGTTTTTGGCATATCGAAAGTATGCCGATTTTTTTAATTACTTCTAAACAAAATTAGAGAATTATTAAATGATTAAGATTATTATTAAAAGATTAAGACACAGAAATAATAAAAAAAAATTTTAAAATTAAAAATTATTAAAAAATTATAAATTATTTTTTAAATTAAAAATTAAAAAAAATAAAAATATAAAATTACGGAAAAACTAAAGTTTGACTGGGTGGATTACAACTAATCTGACGCTTGCCGGGTTAAAAAATTTAAAAAAAGTTTATTTATTTAAATAAAATTTTGTTTAATTAAATAACATTTCTTCAATATTTATTTTGTTCTTTGACATTAAACAAATTATATCAAATATAAATTTAAGAATCTATTTATCAAATAATTCTTTTACATTTTTTAATAATTTTTTATAATTTCATAAATATTAATAACAATACATAACATATTCATCTTAACTTCATCTTTGAAATATAATAAAAAATTATTTAAATAAATCAAAACTGAGCAAAGAATTGAAAGCGGGCAGGTGATTCAGAAATATGCAAACTGAAAGTGGGCGTGGCTTAATAGTCTGTTCTATGAGTATCATACCGAGAGAGTATGAAGCTCATACAATCGTAGTATGTTTGTATTACATACGTTTGGCGTATGGACTTCTTACTGCGAAACTATGAATGTCATACAGTATTCGCATGAGAAAGTTATATACATTAAACGTATGCCTCTTCATACTAAAAACGCATGGTTTTTCTCTCCGTGTAGGTAATCCAAAGTATTAAACCAGTCCAGGATTTTATGTATAGATAAGGTGACTGTACCATTAGCCTCTATATCGTGTGAGGCGATTATTGTCCATTCCAATATACGAATTCAGTAAAGGTTAGATGTATGTGCGGCGTTTAATAGTTACATATTGCTGCTTAAGGGAAAAGGATTTGAAGGAAATTCACAATAATATCTCAATAAATAAACTTAGATTGAAGCTTTGAGAAGACTATAAAATTATACCACTATTCTTAAAGAATTTGCCAATTACAATAACGGAATTTAAAGTTGGCTCAAAAATTAAACTGTCCAGATTAAAATTGTCCGGATCAAAATTCAAAATTTTAGAGGACAAATAAGAGAAAAATGCAGGCCTAGAAGGAGATAGTAATGGACAATAACTTAATAAATGACGGAGACTTTTAAACTCCTCGCCACACTGACAATTCAGAGGAAGAGTCCAATTCATTCTAGAGAAATGCTCTCCCGTACATATGTGACCAGATCTCAATCTTGTAATTAAATTAATATATCCTCTTGGCACATCAATGCCGCCAAACCAAGGTCTTACAGATTCGATATTAACTTTTTCAAAATAGGGATTACGGGATATATTAGAACCAAAATAGGGCCATAATTTATTTGTCCACGATATTAAATCGGATCTCAACAATGAATAAAAGTCTCTCATAGGAGCACCTGCAAAATTGCCAACATGTAGATTGTAGGACTTTTCAGCCAATTTGTCAGCTTTTTCATTGCCTACAATACCCTTATGTGATGGGACCCACATAAATTGGATAAGACGACCCTCACTAATCAACTCCAGTGTAATTTTAACTATTTTAAGTATAATGGGATGCGGCTTAAGAAGTGAAAACCTATTCCCAATGTCACTCAGTGAAGTTCTCGAGTCAGATACTATAATTATCTTATTTAATTGAGTAGATCTTATGAATTTCAACGCAGACAATATACCTTATAATTCACAAGATTCAGCAGTCATGACTCCACTGAGTTTGACTGAGAAATCAAGGTTCATAGAAGGAACATGATAGCTTGCTCCAGAAAGACTCCTAATTGGGTTATGCGAGCCATCAGTAAAGATGTGCACATAATCCTTAAAAGAGGAGTTCTTAAGAAATATTTCTAACTATGTGTCTTCTACAAAGCATGGCTCTTCTGAGATGTAAAGGAGGCTCATCAGATTCAGATAATAAAATT